TAATATTGTTTTCTTTCATTTGCTAGTAGAGAATAATTACCTTGTTTTCTCTTTAAGTGAGCAAAAGTCCATGTGTGAAAATCAGATGCAAGAAGGCCCAGGCAGCTATCTAGTTGCCTGCATTTGGAAAGTAAACAATTCTCTTTCATTTTGATAGAAAGTCAGCCCTTTCTCAAACTTTCCTTGAAACACATTTCCCTGAAAATTTTGGATAAAAAAATAATTTTCTATAACTTCAAAACAAAGACTAGAAGGTGAGATTTCAGAAGGCTATAATTAAGCAGATTGATATTTACCATACATAGTGTCAGAAATGCCAATAAAGTTAAATAAATGAGTACAGATATTTTAAATTTCCCAGTAATGTAAATATTGCCTCAATAAACCTCGGTGTAATCAGCTTTCTGATTACCAAATATTAACTCTAATTGGTCTTCTTGAGGAACTAACTTCCTATTTAAAGCAGATCACAATGAACTGCTTTCCACTGAAGGTTTCAAAATTAGCAGAATTCTCCCTAATAAACAATGTTTTCCTTCAGTGTGAAAGGAAAATGAACTTTGGGCCATTCTACCACATTCTAGCTGTGTGATCTTGCAAAGTTGAGTAACCTCAGTGTCCTTGTTTATAACATGGAGATAATAGTATCTATCTCATATGTTGTTGCCAGGACTAATGATACAAGGCACCTGATGCACTGATTGGAATATTGAGGCCATCAGTGAATATTTCCTAGTACAAGATTTTCCTTGAAATTTTCATTAAATAGGTTATGGGCTCCTGGTTTGAAATTATTGGTGGTTTTAATATATTCATATTTTATAATAGTATTTCAAGTAGGGACAAAGTTGGGTTTATCAATAATGGAAAACCCAAATCAAACTAGCTAAAATATTTAATTTTATTGGCTCACATAACAGGAAGATCAAAGTTAAGTTGGCTCTAATTCCATTTCTCTATGATTTGGTCAGCTTCCTCCACCTCTAGGTGTAAGGTTTAACCTCAGGCTGATTTTCCTTATGGTCACAAGGTGGCTTCTAGCAGCAATAAAGAAATATACATCTTTGTTCATATCTAGTGAGTAACATACTGTTTTTTTGTGACTTTCTCTTAAAAGAAAGGTTCTTTTTCCCTTGTCCAGTAAAAATTCTCTTAAGTCCATCTGACATAGCCCTGTCCATCCTGAACCAATCACTGGCAAAGGAGAAGGATTCACATGATTGGCTTAAGCTAATCAAGAACTGCCCTCCACTCTGGAGTTAATTCTGTAATGCAGAGGTAGACAAGCTTTTTCTGTATTGAGCCAGATAATAAATATTTTAGGCCATATGATCTCTGTCACAACTACTCAACTCTGTCTTTGTAGCACAAAAGCAGCCACAGACACCACAGACAACATGTACACAAATGAGCATGGCTGAAACTTTTATGGACACCGAAATCTGCATTTCACATAATTTTCATCACAAAATATTAATCTTCTTTTCATTATTTTTCAACCCTGCAAAATGTAATCACCACTCCTACCTTAAAAGCCCTACAAAATCAGGCAGTAGGCCATATTTTGCACATGGGTTATAGTTTGCTCTATCATTTTTCCATTTACAATGGAAAGAGGTAGAATGAATATTTGGGAGTCAGCGATAATATATACCTGGAATGTTTCAAAGTTAGTCACTATAATTACCTCAAAAGTCCCTTCCAATTTTGAAAATGTATGATACCATAAAACAATATTTAAATCTATTTTTCAATTTTTTGGAGATAAGTAGTTACAAAACCCCTTCATTAATTTGAAATAAAAGATATGATAAATTATCAACACATTACACTGAAACCTTGATAAGATGCAAAAGTGTATATAAAATGTGTATTATATACTTCATAATTAAATTTGTAAAGTAGGCTATTAAAACACTGATATGATATTGTTGTAAGGCAGTTCCATCCATAAACTATAATATGAATCTCCAGTTTGGTATTCTAATCAGAACCAAAAGTAATCATATAATAAACCTTGCACATGTTTATGATTTTTAATTTCTACTATAGCACATTCCTTGGCTTGAGCACTACAAAAAACCCATAAGTCTCTAGCTTCACAGTTTTTCAGAGATAAGGTCTTTATTTAAAATACTTACATAAGGGAAAGTAAATATTTAAAAAAAAAAACAAAACACTCATCTGTTCATTAGTCACACAGTAAACTCCTCCAAAGCATAACTACATCAAATAACATCTTAATTAAATGGAAGAGTTAAGAATATAACTTATACTGGGGTGAGATTTAAGTACCAAAGGGAATATGATTCAATAATCACTTAAATGGTTCTCTTTACCACTATAATATGTATTAGTGTTAACTTGAAAAGTAGGAAAGCATAATGGACCATAATGGCTTTGGGCCCAAAGTCAAGTCCTGCAATCACAGCAGGCTATGATGCCTAAATAAGACAATCTAGCCTGCCAAAGCATAATGCTAGGATCTGGATGATAAGAGGAAAAGCAAGAGGAAAAAGGATAAATAGGTCACAGTCTTCTAACACTAAGCAGGCTCTTAAAAAACTAGTAACATTTGTAAAAAGGCCTCAGAAAATGAAAAATTATTTTTCATCCTAATCAGGTGATTATTTTATCATAACCAATCCATCTTGAATGAAAGCCCCATGAGATTTTGCAGATTCTATATAAATCTCTGCCTCTTTAAAGATTATCATATAAATGCTTTGAAAACCGATTGTCTTAACTTACAAAGATACTGGGGGGAGTAATGGGGATTTTGAAGGTTCTAAATTCTATGGTTTGGTTGCCACACTAATAGGAGTGTGGGGACTAAAGATGTTAACTACCATGGTATACTTACTTTTCAGACCAAGGATTATCAGAGCACAGCATGTTAAAAAATATATAGCTATTTTCATACCCCTAAATCTACAGATTATATTTCAGGGGAACAAACTGTGGATTTTTCCTTCAATGAAAGATTTTTGAACAACAAAGTTTGTTTTAATGAGTTGAGAGCTATGATTGATAATCTGCCCATGGTACTAATTTTGATTTGGTTTTAATTTCTTCCTAACTCCCATGGACAAAATTAGGTTAAAGTATATACACTGCAGAGACAATATTTCCATTATTAATCTTTATAATGCTTAATTTCAAAGAGATTAACATAGACCATAAAATTGGCTGTAATTTACATGAATATAATTAAGAAGCATTTTCAATACAATTAATCTCCATATTAAATTGGGGTAAGAAAATATATCTGGAGAATTTTGGATTTGAAAAACTTAAGTAATATTTTGAAGAATGAAGTTTAAATTTATTGAGTTCCCTGAAACATTGGGAAATAGATATATTTTAAATATATAAATTATTTAGATATAAATAAATAGATATATTTTAAATTAACTTTATTCAAAAGAAAATACTACTTCAATTACACCAGAAATTCTTGACAGATCTGCCAGACATGAATGGGATTTTCTACTACTAAGTCTACAAAAATCCCTTTAAAGAATTATCTGAATCTATTAAAAATATATCAGAACATTGATATAAAAATCTTTGATCATTCCAGAACAATATTTGGGTCATATTCCTCTACTAGGAAATGTCTTAAAAACATTAATGCTGCAGAGCCTGTACTAGGGTTTAGAGCCCTAAAAGATAAACTATTAGATCTAACTTTTAGAAAATTGAATTTTGTGACAAATATATGTTAATAACTGCCTAACATATAAAAATAATGATAACTAGGAGGTGGGGAAAATTCCAGGTTTTATTGTTAACCACTATGGTCACAAATTATCATGAAACAGAATAAAATTACAAAATTTATGATTATGGGTTAATCAAAAGAAATTTCCATTTCTGCAAATGTCACCTTTGACATAGCACTTTCAATTCGCTATTTATGGGAGAAATGGCCTCCTCTTAACTTCACAAGTTGTTGTGATAACAAAATATTAGAATGGATGTAAAAATACTTTGCAAAGATAAAAGTCCTAAAAATGTAAAGCATGCTTATTTATTACACACCTAGTAAGGCAGCTCAATTGTCATAAAGTAAAAAATAGCAGTAAGTAAAAAATAAGATAATTACAAGCTATAGGGAGAAAATATTTTAATGAGATTTTATTGAGGGCAGAAGTAAATAACTTTTGTTTTAAACAAAGTCAAATTACAATTAATAAGAGGAAACTTCATTAATGGTTGTAAAGGAATCTAAGATAATAATGATCAACACAAATATTTATAATTATATTTTTCTACGTGATGTTAGCTCTAAACTACTGACATATTTTGAATGTCATTTTACAGGCTGCTCTCCACTGAAAATGGGACATTCAAGTTGAGCTTCTTCAGAGTCAAAAAGATACAGACTAATTAGAATAACAGAAAGAATGCTAAAATGCTATCTGGGGTATGGAAACTTCAGCTGAACTACTTTCATTGTAAGGATAGACTTAGAGAATGTAATTTGCCTGAAAAAGCTAGATTTAACACAGTCGATCTTCACATATTCTATAGACTGGAGCTTGGGATGGGGGCAGGGCTACGGAAAAGAAGTATAATTTTAGACAATAAAAATGAATTAAGACGATAAAATGAATAGAGTTTTAGTCAAACTACTGAAAGAAAATTTCCTCATGAGAATAACTTGCTAAGGAAAGCATTAAACATTACACACTTTAAGAAATGTAAAGCCTGGTAAAAGTATAAAGGGTATGTTCTGAGGCTAATTTTGCTGGGTTGAAGAATTTGACAGCTTCATTATATCTAATGAGTAAAAAACTTATTTATATTAGCATTTTCAAAGCTAATGCTATCACTGAGTTAAGCAGGAGAAATAAACTCCTTAGGGTAAGACCTTTCACCTTCTGAGTCTTAGTTTCCTTATTTGTGAAATAAGGATAACAATAATAATAACAAGCCCCAGGTTTCAGTATCAAAAAGATAATGTACAAACTTAAGAGTTTTCTAAACTTCAAAGTACTATGAAAAGCCCAGCCATTTCATTTCTAACTACAATGTAAAAATGTGTATTGAGTATTAGAAAGACTCTGTAATGTAAAGCTAAGAAATCGAGCTGGATAGGTACTATTTCAGCATTCTTAGAAAGTTTGCTAATTTTTAAGTTTAAGCATTTTCTCTAACTCTTGATTTAGCACAGACTGCTAGTATGAGCTGTGTTCTTCTGAAAATTATGCTATATTCAACTTTATAAAGTCTTTAAGGCTCCAATTATGTAATTTAAACAGTAACCTCCTTATAGGTGTTATATGGAACTCAGGGGAGGAAGGATTATCTTTTCTGTTTGGGGTTTTTGTGGGAGGCGGGGTTTAGATTTTCAATATTTTTCCTTAATATTGTGAGCCAACATAACTTTCCATACTTACTTTTCTTTTCACACATATTGCAATGTGTGCATGACTATCAGCACCAATGGCCAAATCAATAATTTTTGAAATGATCAATCTGCCATGAAAATTTGGGCAACATCTACTTCAAGATATCTCTTTTTCTTCAGACAGCAGTTGTAGTGTAATAGAAGGAACACTAGACTTAAAGTCGAAGGCCCTTGGATGGAATCTGAGCCATGAAAATCTTAGTTTCTGGTGTCTCATTGAAAAATCAGAATGACACATACTTTATGAGGCTGTTATGAAGATTAATTTAGATACGTCACTTTTCTAACATATTATCTTATTTATATGCTCAAGAAAACACAAACACAGTTTTGGTTTTGGTTTTTCTCCCCAATTCTACAATATAATTAAGATATTTAAGTGCCCCTAAGTCTTTTTACTTCACAAATAAATTCCATATGGAACTGATTTTATTTTCCCAAACTAGGAATTTAAAAACAAACAAACAAAAACCTGCCTCAGTCTTTTCTTTGTTTTTGTTTTTAAAACCTCCATCAATCATTTCATTTATACTCTTTAAAAACTCATTTCTGTGTATTTTTATTATTTTGTTTTTATTAAAATATTTTGTCCTCTAGATCAAAAAATATAAGAGTTATTGGACTCTATTTCTGTAATTTCTCTTTGCATTTCCCAAATAAAACTGCCTATGTTATATAAACATAATAGGATTCTAATACAAATCATTCATCCCAGGTGCTACTCATGGTATTAAATTACAAAACAAATTTCAACTGCATCACTTGGCTTCCTCTGGAATTCAAGAGTTTTAATTCACTAATATAAATAAATGGCCAGACATTTCTGTGTCTGTTTTAAACTAACATGTTTTCTGTTTTCTGAAATGTTTTCATTTGGTTATTTCATGTGTTTGAATAGTAGAAAATCAATCTTTAGCTTTAAGCGTTTTTTCCTTAAATTTTCTAATGGTGACCATCTAAATATGACAGCGAAAAACAATAAATACCAAATGGGAGTCAGGATATCTAGGCTGTTGTCCTAGGCTTGGCACTGACAAGCTAGACCATATTTCTCTGAGACTCAACTTCTTTTATAGCAAACGAAGGGGTAGGAGAAAATGACTTTTAAGGCCCCATACACTGATCATGAGAATCTGTTTTCCAAAGTTCACACATGTATGGAATTATAAAAGAAAGAGAGTAACAAAAAGCAGCTGTACACATAAAAGTAAAATAAACTAAAGGAAAAAAAGATATACCTGCAATTTCTTCTAAAGTGTTAGCATGCATGTCCAGCAACACAGTCCCATTCAGAATGCAACTTCTCAACTCGAACAAGCTGTGCAATGAAAGAGTAGCCACATAAGGCTTGCTCCACCTTTCTCCTCCATCTTCCACATCTTCTTCAAACTTCAACCACCTGTACAAATAAACATTATTATCAGCACATTGTATATTATATTTTAGATGAATGATCCTTTATCCCAATAACAACAGGTAGAAACAGAAAGTTATTCATTCATATTGCTTTTTGGTTTTATGGGTTTTGCAAATACTTAAAAACCAGCCCAAGGCATTCAATTTATTTCATTTTAGTTCCATTGAATTAGTATTCTTCTTGTAATTGAGAGATAATTTAAAACCAATACAAACTCATGTTATTTTTTTTAATTTGTCTAGCTCTGAAGAAACATTTTAATAAAAATGTGTAACCAGGTAGTCACAGTGAATCTTTTGTAGAACTAATAGAGTATACTTCTTCATGGAAAGTTAATTGTCATTGAAAAAGAAAATGAAAGAATACTCATTTTTCTTTAGTGGAAGTTCTTAAACCTGAATATTTTAATCTCTTGGTAAAATATTAGATTTTTAGGGAGGCTAGTATAATTTGTGGACTCTTCTATAGGAAAAATCCTTATTAGGCTTGTTTGGATGAAAGCTGATGATAGCAGTCACTTCCTAAGCACTGAATATATGAAGATTGAGCTCAGACTCCATTTCCTAAGTGTGCATCCCGGGAATGGATAATAGGAGAAAAGTCTTGATATCATGATGTCAAATGAGAGACCACTGCCTTCTTGGTGTGAAACAAATAGTAATACCTGGGATTGTATGTAAGCAAGATAAACAGAAGGGTTTGTAAAGAGAAACCAGTGATTGTATTGCTCTGGCACAAGCCACTCAATCTCTTATCCTTTTAGAGACTTGCTCTCTAATCTTAATAGATGACGAATTTAATTTCACCGTTTCTAATGAAACTTAGCCTAAATTGCGTTCCCCTAATCTCATCCTTATCATTTCCCTCATTCCTTCTTTCCTTAGTCATTTTTGGCCCTACTTCCTCTCTCCAAGCAGTATAATTCGAATTCTTTATATGATGTTATAATACTGTTTTATGTAATCAAATGATCCAACTTCAACAAACAATAAATACATTGGAGTAATTAGTTAGGGAATTAGGTAAATTAGCCCAAAGTAACTAACCAAAAGAGCTAATCAGACTGATTAATGTGTAGAGTAGCAAGCGATCAAGAAAGCTATGGATCTGTCTCTAGTGTTCAGAGAACAAAAAAATTGTTAGAAAGTGAAAAAGAAACCAATAGGGAAGAATAGCTATGCCTGACAGAAGTTCACAGACAAGGAAGAATAGCTATGCCTATATAGAACACATGGAGGTTGAAAAAAACTTACATGTAAGCCCTAAATCACTTATAGTATCTCTTCAAGGCTAGGACTTTTATAGAACATTTTTATTTACAGAGTCAGGAATTTTACATATTGGTGATTTCTAAAGTTTTTCAGCCCTTAACTGGGCCACAGTACCTCATAAATATGTGATGGTCATTAATATTGCTCATGAACTATAGCTGCTTCTCCCTCTCTTACTAGTGAAGAGTTGGATATCACTACTTGGCTCCTTTTTCATTAGTGAGTCCATGTGTCTGTGACTGGTTCTCGACAATGAGTTGGGAACAAAAACTATGTGTATGTCACTTCCAAACTGGAGCATTTAATTGTCAAGATGAGAGCCCATGGAGCTCTCTTTTTCCCTGTCATGACAACCAGCAATGTTCAAGAAGGAGGCTGCTCTACCAGCTGTGGTCCCTAAGTAACTACCATGAAGAGATGAACAGAGCCTCCATTGATCCATGATGGACATGGATCATAAGCCATAAATAAACCTTTGCAGTTTTAAGCCATTGAAATTGTAGGATATTTTTACAGCATGATTTAACCTATCTCAACTGACAAAGATCACCATTTTAGCTATTCATGCCAACACAAAAATCCTAATTAGAATTAATGGTGAGAGCAAATATGATTTTGTTAAATATTATAATTTAATAATATGTTGTTTAATATATTATATTTAATAAATATATATTTCTTGCCAGATATAAGAGTAAGGCCATGGCCATATTATGATGTCAATATTAAAAAGGATCAACCTCTTGGCAGACATTTAGAAATAGAATAGTATTATGGAAAGTACCTTGTACCAATTGAGGATAAAAAGAAACTTACTAATAGGTTTTGTCCCTAGTCTACAGCTAAACCACCATGTGATCAAGGAAAAGTCATTTAACTTCTCTGGGCCACAGTTTTCTCATCTGTAAAATGATGAGGCAAATTGAACCCATTAAATAATCTCCCCAAGATCACCTGATCACTTTGTCAAACGAGGATTCAACTCAAGTTTTTTGTAACTTTGTTTTTCTCCAGAATCTGTGCCCATTTCCCACCATAATATAATTACTTGAATTAAATTTATGGTCCTTCTCAGCTCAAAGATCTTATGCTAATACCTATAAATGGGAAAATGATTTAACCTTTAATTTTTACCCTTGCCTGGAACCAATCCCAAGTTGAAAAATGTTCTTTGTCCTCTCTTTCTCTTTTTACAGTATCCACATTTTTTTCTTTATTACCTACCATACTAGATAAAAACAGGTGGTTTTTCTTTGTGAGTAAGACTCAAATGTCCTATTCTTTGGAATTGGCTATAATGGAACTTTCCAAGGGTAACTTTCCACCACGGGAATGGGTACAACTTTTATCAAATCTTCTATCACCTTGTATACTACTGACATATGATGTGGTTTTCAGACAAAAAGATCAAAAGAAAGGGAGATTATACAGCAGCCCTTATGCTGGTGTGGTTTGGATTGAAGAACTATTTTGCATTTGAAATCTACTGTCCAGTCATTGGATGGTAAAAAAGACTTAAGGTAATAAAAGGTTGTAAATAATGTTTGGGGGAATATAGATTTTTCTCTATGGGAAAATGTCCTCAATTAAGGTTTCTGGAGCTATAGTACTGTCACCCCTAAATATAAAATTGCTTCTAAAGTACTATCTTTAAAAATTTGACTCAAGTATGGAATCCTGAAAAGTGTTTGTATGTTACTAAAAAACAATATTATTTCTTAATTACTTAAGTAGAAATCTATAAACTTACCCATACGTTAATATTGTTTTTAAGTTTTAATAACATTAACAAAAATTCGTTTTTAAAATACTTATGGGCCTCTTGATCTGTATAAAATGATCAAGTCCTTTTTTATAAGGAAATTTATAGTTAAATTTTACTTCTGGATAACAGTAAAGATGATTAAAGAAGTGAAAAAGCATCTACGAACCCCCATAAGATGTGGGGTGGGAGGGCATATATATGTGTGTGTATGTGTGTAGTTCTATGCATGTTTATCCCATGTATAGATTCATGTAAACACCATAATCAAGACACAGAGCTGTTCCATCACCACAAAGGAAATTCCTCATGCTACACCTTTACATTCTCAGTCCTCACTCTGTTCCTGGCAGCCACTAATCTATTTTTCATCACTACAGTTTTGTTATTTTGAGGATGTTATCTAAATGGAATCATACAGTTTGCAACCTTTTGAGATGGATGTTTTTTCCATTAAGCATAATGCTCTTGAGATCAATCCAAGTTGTTGTATGTATCAGTAGTTTGTTCCCTTTTATTGTAGAGCAATATTTCATTATATGAATAGATGTATCAGTTTGTTTAACAATTCATCCATTGGAGTACATTCAAGTTGTTCATAGGTTTTGCTATTACAAATAAATCTGCCATGAATTCTCATGCAGAGTTTTTTATGTGAACATAAGTTTTCATTTCTCTGGGATAATTGCCCAAGAGGACAATTGCTGGGTCATATAGTAAATGAATGTTTAGTTTTGTAAGAAACTCCCAAACTGTTTTCCATAGTGGCTCTACCATTTTACATTCACAGTGTATGAGAGATCCAGTTTCTCTGTATCCTCACCAGTATTTATAATTATGACTATTTTTTATTTTTACTATTCCATTAGGTATGCAGTGATACCACATAGTAGTTCTAATTTGCATTTTCCTAATGACTAAAGATGTTGAACTTTTTTTTTTTTTGAGACAGGGTCTCTGTTGCCTGGGCTAGAGTGCAGAGGTGTCATCATAGCTTTCTGCAACCTCAAACTGCTGGGCTGAAGCAATCTTCCTGTCTCAGCCTCTTAAGTAACTGGGACTTCAGGCATGAACCACCAGACCTGGTTAATTTTTCTGTTTTTTGTAGAGACCAGGTCTCTCTATGTTGCTCAGGCTAGTCTAAAACTCCTGGTCTCCAGCGATCATCCCACCTCAGCCTTCCAAAGTGCTTGGATTACAGGTGTGAGCCACTGTGCCTGGCCCCTTGAATATCTTTTCATGTGCTATTTTTCATCTGTATCTCTTTTTTGATGAAATTTCTGATTATGTCTTTTGCCCATTTTTCTAATTGATTTGTTTATTGTCATATCGTTGAACTTTGAGCGTTCATTATATATTCTACAAATAACAGTTTTGTTGAATATATGGTTTGCAAATATTTTCTCACTGTGTCTAGCTTGCCTTTTCATTCTCTTAACAGGATCTTTAACAACACAAAAGTTTTAATTTTGGTAAAGCTCAATTTATGAATATTTTCTTTATGAACTGTGCTTTTGGTATTATGTCTAAAAACTTATTACCTTAGATCTAGGTCCTGAAGATTTTCTCTTATGTTTCTTCTAAAAGTTTTATACCTTTATGTTTTACATTTAGATTTATGATCTATCTTGAATTAATTTTTGTGTGCACTATGAGGTTTAGATCGAGGTTAATTTTTTTGCCTATAGATGTCTAATTGCTCCAGCATCATTTTTTGAAGAGATTTTATTCATCCAGTTAATAGTTTTTGTCCTTTGTCAAAAATCATTAAGCCATACTTGTGCTGGTTTATTCCTTGGTTCTCCATTCTGTTCCAGTGATCTATGTGTCTATCTGAAATGACATTTTAAAAACAAATCAAGAGATATATTCCTTCCTTTAGAATAATTTTCTTCAAATTGGGGGCTTGGTTCTATTAGAAAATAATGGAGTCCTGGGGAGTTCCAAGC